ACACACACACACACACACACACACACACACACACACACACACACACACACACACACACGCACACACATGCACACAGGTCTGCAGCTTCACTTCAGAACCTGAGGCATCTGTCACAAGCTGATTATGAAACAGCTCCTGTACATAAAATGGTCAAAATGCAATAAAAAACAACTACATTATTGCAAATATTAATTCAAGTGTCTTAAGCTGCGCATCCTGTTGATGGTTTTTATCTTTTTGAATCTTTTATTTGCATTATTGTGCATTCTTTTGGTAATAATTCCACATATATTGTTATATTTTCTTAATTATGCTCATTTTGGTGTGTTCTCACTCCCTTTTTTTTCATATATTGTTTAAATTTCACCTTTCATTGTTGTAATTTTGCATGTAGCCTTACGCCCCTGAGCCATGTTCGGTTCGGTCAGTTGTCCCGGCCCAAACAAACAAGCAGGTGTCGTTCTGGTTTCCTGTGGACCCGCAGAACTGGACCGGCCATGRGTGTTGGTCTGCTGTCGGGAAAAGCAGGTTGTGTTTGGGTGGTGGTGGTCATGTCCGTGTCGCACGGTGACCCAAGCCAAGCTGACACACCGGACTATTTTATTTTTTACACGGAACCGAGAGTGGGGCGGGACAGGGAGTGGACCTCCTCGCTCCGGGATTGGAGCGCGGAGGACGGCGGCGGGTTTAACGGAGGACAGCCGGGGGACCGACACGAACCCATTAACCGGAGAGGCTGCTGAGCTCGGCGGCAGAACCACGGGGGAACAGCGTTTGTCACATTTTACACACAAACACAGATAAAAGCAGCTGTTCAGAGAAACGTTTAAAACCACAAGTCCTGAGAAACGCGAGTATGGGAAGCCGATTTATCACATAATAGACGGGATCTTCAAAGCAAATGACACAATTAACACCTATCTTAGAGCAAAAAAAATTACGTATAAGTCATATAGAATGCTATTTATCTTAAAGATGTCAGGAAAAATAATACCATATTTCTCTAATTGCTTACTCTTTCTATGCAAAATTAACTTGATCTAAAATGGGGAAACTGACATTATTTCCATATATCCGACATGGAGAGGTGGGAAAGGACATTATGCTTGAACTATTATTAGGATTGTGACACAAAATAAATGTTAAAATTACCACTTTTCAGGACATTTTCGACATCATGTCAGTAATTTGCCCAATATAATTACARCTGAAGAAACATTAAAATTTTATTTTGACCAGAGTGTTGCTTCATATATCTATTCTGACCAGTAGGGATAAGAAAAGCGTATTTGACAAATATATGTCACAACGACCTGCCACACTAGTTAAGCTAATAAAAGGTTCGGCTCTCGAGTTCAACGGCTCTAGCGACATCCAGACCGGCTGAGAGGCTCGGTCAAACGCCCAAAACATTCTCTAACTAGCTAACAAAAGATAAACCCTCACAAAAACATGTCCCCCCAAAAAGGCATCAGTGACCGTCGATGTCGGTAGCCGTTAGTCGGTCTGCTCGCMGGGGAGGACGAGCGGTAGCTTACCTGATGCGGTCCTCCCTCCGCGGGCTCGTGCCTCCMCCGCCGCCGCTGCTGTATGTCCGTCGACTGAACGCTCCGTCGCTCCTCCTCCGCCTTTAGCTCGTCTCTCTATCGAGGCAGGAGGAGCAGGTGGGGGGTATAAGTGAGGGAGGAGGAGAAGGAGGAGGCTGGCTCGAGCGCTCCGAACCCTGAGCCACGCGCCCCCACACACACGAGAGCCCCTTCACCATCATCATCATCATCATCATCATCATCATCATCACCAGTGTCGCTGTTGCTTTATCTGCATCCCCATTTCTGCTCAATGCAGAAAGCATGAACAACTTCAGCTCTTAAAACAACAATTATAACATTTCTAATGCAAATGTCTCCCAAAATTCAACAGTCCACATTTAAAAACAAGTGTCAAATAAACATTAAAGCTGCTGCAAGGCTCTTTGTGGTCGTCACGGTAAGCACACCTGCATCTCTCCAACCTCAAGCCAGGCAGGCAGAAGCAGACTAAAAAGTAAGCCTCAAACAAAACAGTGGCTGTACAGAAACCATAAGTCATACAGTAAATGTTTTTGAACTGTGAGCATCTAAACACACAGCAGACTGTCATAAAATATAATTTCCTTCTGTTTTATTAGTTTAAAAAAATTAAACAGCACACTTCTGTAAAAAAAAATCAACTTAAAGATCGTGCTAATACCTAACAATCACATATGCTTTCTTTTGTTTGACATTTATAAAAAGCATGTTACAAATAAATATGTATGTTTTACCTAAGTGAACTGTAAGATCTGTATAAACACTGGAAAGAAAGAAACTTCCTGTTTTCACGTGGTTTTTGTGATGTGTTAAGTGACGTCCTGATGCATCTCAGTAATCCAGGTTGAAAATCAAAAAGAAAAAAATTGTYTAGGTCRTCTGGACGGGTTCTTCTCTAATGAAACGTTTCGTCTCTCCTCCAAGAGACTTCTTCAGTCTGAGAGTTTCAGGCAAAATTCAGGCTTTTAAGCCCAGCCTCCATGTGACTGATACATCACATGGCTATCGTTGACACCTAATTAACACCTGTTGTTAACAGGGGGTACAGTGATACTGGCAATAGCCGCGCTGTAGGAGGGGGACAACTGAAAACGGAGGCCTCCACCTCTGTTTAATGATGGACGGTCTTTCTTCACAAAAATGGCTTCTTTTACTCCTCTCTCAAACCAACGTTCCTCTCTATCAAGAATGAGAACAWCCTCATCTCTGAAAGAGTGACCGCTGGCCTGTAAATGAGTGAAAACTGCAGAGTTCTGGCCATTAGATGTAGCTCGTCTGTGTTGGGACATTCTTTTGAATGTTCCAACACAGAACGGTGTGCCAAAACGGTGGGCATGTTAGCTTTTTTATGTTAAGTGACTTTTTGCACCCTGAAAGCATTAGGGCAGATTTGCAGAAACAAATAAATTCTGACATGTCGTCAGCTACAACATTATTTCAAAGGATGAAGCTTTTTTTTAAATGCGTTTAACAAAACACAAATGTCACTTTCAATTCAACATTTTGTAGTGTGCTTTGATTTTTGAGTAAACACAGATATCTCTTCACCGGAGATCAGAGAAGCATCAAGTTGTATCAGATTCTGATTTTCTGTCACATAATAGAAGCTTTCCTGAGTTATGAAAAAGCACATAATCTGTACCGTTCATATATTCTGCGTTTAGGGCCTCTGAATTGTGTGAGTAATTAAAAATCTGCCACGGCAAGATGTTACCCCATCAAAAACAGCATTTAATTACAGAGGCAAGAGCTGCATGCACACAGCTTATTGCAGGGAATAATTACACTTTCTATTATGTCACAGTTTGGTTATTTTACCCTGATTAATAGCAAATAAATGACTTGTTATAGTCAGAGACCAGAGCTCCGCCTCATCTCTGTTTGCTTTACAGCTAATGTCAGCTCTAGTGACATTTAAATACAAATATCACAGCGAAAGTTAGGTTTATTATAATGACTTAATATAGTTGAAACTTCTGAACGACTATCGACAGACAAATACTAGAATCTTTTTAGCATTTTTTCCTTCTTTCTGTCTTTTTCAGCCTGAAACAGAAGCTGAAAAGCTTCTTCTTGTTKTTTGATTCTGCTTTTATTTGATACTTGTTGATCTTCCTGTTCATTTAAAACAAGTCTCTCCTGAGAATGAGACACTGAGACTCAACGAGATTACCTCTATYAACAAATGTGAAATAATTAATGAACAATGGTGGGTGTTTAACAGATGATGCATTTAAATGCTTTAATTGGCTTCAACGGGAATAATTTAAAGTTTTTACTGAAAAATAAGTTTAATTTACTGAAGTGATCAGAACGTTTGTATAATATGAAAGATTTGAAAACTTTCAAGTAATGATTAGACATCAATTCTGTTGTTGCTCTAATTAGGCAGATAGTTCAGTCGTATTCAGGACAGAAGCTGTATTATTGCACGGTTTTAACAAATGTTTAAAACTTTAATATCATTTGCYATATATGGACCATCCAAGGGGACATCAYGGGTATTTTTCTTTTGCYTTACCTCTCAATTTGAAATACATATCATTGTAAGAAAACAGTCCTGGAAAACAAAAAGAAAACAAAATCCCCTGATGTCTCTTTGGGAGCTCTGTAATATATGAGATTTCAGCTGTATTTTAMCTGGATCWGACCCTYGATGTTAGCCAAAACTAAAATTTTAAATGAATTTGAATGGATCTGTTTATATCTGCTGTTTTAAAGTCATCGCGTGAAGCGTTTGTGTAAAAATAGGCCCTAATTCCAAACGTTTCAAAGAAAAATTCCACAGAGTCGTTTATCTCTCTGTAGACTGCACTCACAGCAGAGGCCTCCAAAATCTGAAGCATCCAGTCTCCTCTTTCAATGGTTTCACCACATCAGACACAAATAATCAGGTTTCCTGTTACACTGCTGATGTCTCGGTGGGCATTAACTGGGCTTCAGGTCTTTATCGCAGCCAGGTTTGTTTTAGAAAARTCAAGATCAAATGTCTGAAGTGATGGCCGCCYTCCAGGCTGCAAACTTCCTGCACATACGTCACATCTCGGAGGGGAAACAGGGACAGACGGGAGGGGCTTAACTGCATCATCAAGGAGGGGTAACAGTGGCAGACGGGAGGGGCTACACCTACCAAAAGGGTCACAGGGATAGATGGGAGGGGCTTAACTACACTACCCAGAGGGGTAACAGGGATGGATGGGAGGGGCTTAACTGCAACACACAGACGGGTCACAGGGACAGACGGGAGGGGCTTAACTACACCACCCAGAGGGGTAACAGGGATGGATGGGAGGGGCTTAACTGCAACACACAGAAGGGTCACAGGGACAGACGGGAGGGGCTTAACTGTAACAGAGAAGGGTCACAGGGACAGACAGGAAGGGCTTAACTGCAACACAGAAAAGGGTGACAGGGACGGATGGGAGGGGCTTAACTGCAACACAGAGAAGGGTCACAGGGATGGACGGGAGGGGCTTAACTGTAACAGAGAAGGGTCACAGGGATGGACGGGAGGGGCTTAACTGTAACAGAGAAGGGTCACAGGGATGGACGGGAGGGGCTTAACTGTAACAGAGAAGGGTCACAGGGATGGACGGGAGGGGCTTAACTGCAACNGTCCAGGCAGGACCATTGCACAGGTTAAAATGTCACATATTTTTCTACAGTTATAGAAAAAAAGTCCAAAATCAAATAACTTCTATCTTCACACATTCTGGTGTTTCTCAGATTCATGTTAAATTTGAATCAACTCTTTTCTTTTTTTGCTGGCAGCATTGTTCTGCAACTTGTTTATGTTCAGCTGTGGAATGCAATTAATTAGTTTTTAATATTGTAGTTAACCACCTTTGTTCACAGTGTATTAGAATGAGCAGCTTCATGAGTGGCTTTCATATTTTCTGTGAACTTCAGACTTAATTAGGCTTTTTTTTGTAACTCAAACTTGATATATGAGCACAGAGAAGCAAACAGAGGCAAATTATCTGATAGAGATCAGACTTTTAAAACGTGATCATCTCACTAAAATATAGTTATTAACATATCGCATTATCTAATATCTTTTTTTCTTAGACTGGTTAAGCTCTGTACAAATCAGTACACTAGTATAAGATTTGTTTAACATTGCAAACTAGAGTCACAAAAATTTATGTAAATATAATGTAATAGTGAGACTAAAACAAAACAAAAAAACTGGTAATTTGAAAATTATCTTAATTCCCAAATCTTTTGCACTTGGATTTGTTTGGTAATACATGCTTATATTCACTTTTAAAGGAGAGGTATAATGCAAAATAGACTTTTGTGAGATTTTTACCATATTACAATATCATTCCCTTGTGACTGACCCAAAACTGGTTTAAAACAAAAGTATTTTAAAATATTACCTTGGTCAGCAACTCTCTCGAAACAGTGAATTTAATCTTTTCTTTTACCATGTCTGCAACACTGAATGTATCACATGTTATATTGAATCCTTGCAG